GCTTCCTTTCCTCTAAAGTTTCTTACAGATTTTCTAAGGTATGTCTCCCATTGTGTATCTTATCACTCAGCCAAGTGATGATGGGTACAAGGGTAGACCAGGAGTTAGGCTGTTGAATGTCTTCCACTTAAGAGTTCTTAGATAAAAGATATTTGCTTAGAAAGAGTTGAATATTTTGTCCTTGAGCCAGGAAGAGTGATTAAGATGAACTCTTAATGTCACTGCAGCTTTATAAGTAAGTGGATTATTGCTTCTTTAAAAGGTGTTGCATCCTAGAGAAAAATGATTCTTGATAGGGTTGTGTTGACATTAAGAACCTTCCAAAGACAAGCTGCTGCCACTGGGCTGTGTTTCTGCCACATTGGTGGTCGGCTCTGCTGAGCACATTCACAATTGCTCTGTTGACTGGCATAGTGTTTCCTTATCTAGTTTCTGGATCTTAGAAGTCATGCACTACAAGCAGAAGTTTATACAATGGCAATGTACAAAATCTGTTTCTGAAACCATCTGAAAATATCAGTAGGTAGAAAATGCAGAATTCATTTGTTAGGTTAATCCCTTTTAATTTACTCAATGTGCACTTACCACCTGTCTACTCTATGCATGCCATATAGTGGCAAGAGGAATAGAGTGACTGAGGAATAGAGTAACAGAAGCCATTGGGTAGGGCTCATGGGAATGAGTGGGAACAAAGAGTGTGAAGATATTGTAGGAAGGATACCAACATCCTCCGCTACCCTTTGGCCCAAGTGGTTTTCTCCAATCTTCAGTGGCTCAATGGTAGACAAAAAAAGATCAAAGAAAACTAAACCCCAAACTGCTCTATATCTATTTTATTAAAATAAAATCACAAAAAGAAATTGAAAAATTATAACTGATATGTGCTATAAAGGAGAAATTGAGAATCTGTAATGGGGGAAGCAGGGAAGCAAAATTGGACCTACAGAGAGAGGTCAAGGAAAGCCTCTTTAGTAAAATACCTAATGGGTATATTCTTCCAAGTAATTTTCTACCTATTAAACTAGTAACCAATATGTATATCATGATTCACAAATTTAGAGCCTAAAAAGTAAAATAACTCTTTGATTTTTTTTTCAAGTAAAACTGTTTCGCGTTGCATGTATTTGCAATATTATCCAAAAATCTAGACTATCTCTTGTATTAGTTGCCCAGTGCTTGTATAGCAAATTACTACAAAGTCAGTGAGTAACTTAAAACAATACAAATGTACTGTCTTACAGTTCTGGAGGCCAGAAATTCAAAATGGGTCAGCAGGGCTGTATTCCTTCTGGAGATGCCAGGGGAGAATCCATTTCCTCCTCTTTTCCAGATTCTACAGGCCGCCTGTACTCCTCGGCTTGTGGTCCCGCATCACTCTGACCTCTGCTCCCATCATCACATCTCCTCTGAGTCTGAGTCTCCCAAACGTCCTAGGTCACTCGTTTGTTTTCCTCCTTCCTATATTGTCTCACTCTGGGTTCTTCCCTGGTGGCAGGCTTGGTGAAGAAGGGACAGCTGCATCTTACTCGTGAGGTACATTTATAATCTAGTGTTTTCTGTAAGATTTCTATGTCCAAAAGCAAACCCAACCCAGCCACCAACTTCTTATAGCCTATTCCTCTAGCAGCTCCTGATGGACAGAGTCGCTTTTAAGGCAGCCCAGGACTAGCTCCTCACTGTGAGGTCCCCATCTGGTCTTCAGAAACACATACCCTTGCTCCATCAAGCTCTGGAAGTGAAGGCCCTTCCCACAGCGTCCATACCTCTTCATTCAGCTTTTTGGAAAGCCACTCTGTCCATCCTCTCAGTTGTGGATATTTTAGTTATAAAATACCATCTATTAACCTACAGTTTCTGGGGTTACAGCGTGAACCACCATGCCTGGCTTCAGTCTCTCTCTCTTTTTTTTTTTTTTTAGTTGGAGTCTCACTCTGTCACCCAAGCTGGAGTGCAGTGGCAAGCTCACGGTCACTGCAGGCTCGATCTGCTGGGCTCAGGAGATCCTTCAAGTAGTTGGAACTACAGACATGTGCCACTACACCTGACTAAGTTTTTCTGATTTATTGTAGAGATGAGGTCTCGCTAAGTAGCCCAAGCTGGTCTCGAACCCCTGGGCTCAGGCCATCCTCAGCCTCCCAAAGTGCTAGGATTATAGGCATGAGCCACCACACCCAGCCTCAACCTACAGTTTCTAAAGAACATGTATCAGCTTAGCTGAGTAGTTCCCTCAAAATCCCTGTTCACTTGGCTTATATAAGAGGAAATACCTTCCCTTCTTCTATAACCCTGATCTATCTCTTAAAAAAATCTTCTAATTTTCCAAATCACAGGTGAATTCTTATCCTTTTCTTAAATAATTGGGAGAACTCATATTGGCGTATCTACCTTTTTAAAAATATTACTTTATTAAGATATATTTTATATACCAATAGAATATACTTATTTGAAGGGTATAGTATTCAACTTTGTTGATAATAGTTGAAGTATAGAATTTCTCTCGTGCCCCTTGGCAATAAATCTCCAATCTACCCATCTCCCATTCCCTGAGTCACAGGCAATCAGTAATCTGCTTTCTATCATAATTGGTTAGTTTTACCTAATCTAAAACTTTATATACATGGGATCATAAGGTATGCATTCTTTTGTGTCTGTCTTCTGTCCCTTAAGATATTGCTTCTGAGAATCACTTTGTTTTCTTACTTTTATCAATACTTTGTTCATTTTTTATTGCTGAGTAATGTTCCATTTTACTGATACACCACAATTTGTTTATCCATTTGCATGTTGATAGATACTTACGTTGTTTCCAGCTTTTTCATATTATTAATAAAGCTGATGTGAACATTTTTGTACTAGTCTTTGTATGGGCACATGCTTTCATTTCTGTTAGATAAATAACCAGGAGAAGAATTGCTAGGTCACAGGGAAGGTATATTTTAATTCTTAAAAAAATGGCCAATTTTCCAAGCAAATGGCATAACTAACTTTTGACGTTCTCAGTTTGCAAGTCCTGCAGAGATGGTCTAGTACTTTACTTAAGAATGTAGGGTTGCTTTGCCATTATTCTTCTTCGTTTGGGGCCCTTAGATGATATGCCAAAACAGCAAGAGATTCATATTTAACTAAGATATTAAATGCTCAATTTAATTTCCTTCCTATACACTCTCAGACTGAAATATGTGAGAAAGCAGGAACCATGTCTTATTTCTTCTTTGTTTCTCCAAATACAGTACCTGGCTACGTTGTAGTGCTCAAAACAAAGAAAAACAAATAAACTGAAATAAAAGTTAGTACTTTTGAAAGCCTTGCCTGCACACTAAAATTGTAATCCTTTTAGTTATTTCTTTGGTTGTCCATAATTTAATAATTTAGATTTGAAATCTGAAAAATCCATAAGCTTCAGTAACAAATGGCAATGCTATATATTCACCATTCCCTCTCTGGCTAGTTGTAAGAAATCCTTTCAGTTCCCAAGCAGAATAAAATAACAAGGCAGAAGGGAAAAGGAAGAACAGTCATCAAAGGTATATTTTTTTCTTTCTTTCTATCTTCTGGACCTCTGAGGCTGCACCTTGAGTTTGAACGTGTATTAAAATTGGCACGAAGCTATTTTCCTCCCGGGCTATAATTTCAGAAAGCCTTGCCTGGGAAGCAATGACCTTTCAGTCACTTCAAAAGCAGCTCCTCTCTTACACCTTATGATGTCAGGGCTGACTGGGACTATGGCAGGGCTCTCAATTAAAAGGATGACTTCTAAATGGTTTCTCATCATGTCACCTCACCCTTGTGATGGTGACCTCTTTGGATAGAGAGAGAATTGTGGCCACACAGGAGTCAAAAGTTAGAGTCATGAGTTTGGAAATGTACAGAAAAAATAAAAAGGAGAATACCACCACATTTTAGTGAAGAACATTTTCAGAATATGAAATACAGGCAGCTCTGAATATACCTGGAGTAGTCCAGTTGACTTTATACCGGCTGTACCTCGCTTGTTTGGGGCTCTACTTCCAAGCCTTGTCCTGCAGCTCTCTGATCCAAGGGGCACTTAAGATTTTTGAAGTTCAAAGACATCCTTGGGAATATATCTTTATTTTTTTTCTTAGCCTACCGCCTACCTTCACTAGTTCACTCTTTTCTGATTATTTTTCATTTACCTCTCTAATGCATCCCTTGGGCTTTGGAATGAAGTTAAGAATAGTGGTTACTGGGGAGACAGGAAGTCTTGTCACAATTTGATCTATCCAGATAAGCCGTTCATTATCTTGTTTTGACAGTTCTAGTCAAATGCAGCTATTTAGTGTTCTATCACAAGCAACAGTGACAGATGTATGGCTCTCACTGGCCGTCTCATTAAAAAAAAAAAAAAAAAAGAATGCAAGGATGCTTTTCTCTTACAAATGCGGGATGGTGGATTCTGACCAGTAATATATAAGTGCCTAAAGTCCCCTAGGAGAAATAATGGAAAGTTACATTATTCAACTCAGATTTCTAATTTCTAGATCTGTGGCCAGTTTAACATATGCCTATACAAAGGTTTGCATATAAATATTTCATTCAGTGAACTGTTCAAGGAAAATTGGTTAACATGTTAATTAAAACAGACAAAAATCACTTAATGTACTTAATTTTAAGTGATCTCCCAATACTCTACAGTCTAGAAGTGTAAAAGAATCAGGGGTTAAAAAGTTGCATTCTTTTTAGAAGAATCAGACCTCAGAATGGGGAGGAGGATAAAAAATTAAAAGCAATGGAAATAAGCAGAGAGAAAAAGATGGATTAGACAAGACTACAAGTGACAGTAAAATTCTGTGTGAAAGCTGTAAGAAATAGTAGGGAGATGTTGAGGAAGAATGTGGTAAATGTGAGTGTACCAAAATGGCAGGGTGTTTCCTTTCCAATTTAGGCCCTGTGGAATGGTGCCTGCGTAGAAGGGTGGTATTCTGCATCACCCAAGTGATGACCTGAGAACACACATCAACATTCACAAGCGCATTAAAGGAATGGGCTTCAAGAAGCATGTCCCTCGGGCACTCAAAGAAATACAGAAATTTGCCATGAAGGACTTGGAAACTCCAGACATTGACACCAGGCTCAACAAAGTTGTCTGGGCCAAAGGAATAAAGAATGTTCCAGACCATATCCATGTATGATTGTCAAGAAAATGTAATGAAGATGAGCTTTTTATACTTTGGTTACCTACATACCTGTAACCACTTTCAAAATCTACCGACAGTCAATGTGGATGAGAAAACAATGATCTTCAAGTCCATCAAATAAAGTTACAAAATCGCCCCAAAAAAGAGGCAGAGTATCATTAATTCTAAAATAACAAGTTACATGTAGTCTAATTCTGTTGTTTAAAAATCACATATATGCGCACATATGTGTGTGTTATTGATCATATCTATCATCTACAGCCTGGCTTTTGTATGTTAACGCAATCACAGCAGCTGCAACCTCTAATTTACATATTTACATATAGTATTCTAAGATAAATTTAATTAAAAGAATTCTGATTGATTGAACAAACCTCTATATGTGGCCAATTTGTTTTAAGATTTTCATTATCATAGTAAAGGCTTTCAGAACATTGGTCTGCGTACCTATTCTAAGTGTTTCCCTAGGACAAACTTCTAGAAATGGAATTGCTTGGTATAAATGTGTATACATTGTAAAATGCTTCCTGTGTACTCCCCAAAATAATCTCCAGCAACATTGAGTAAGATTATAATCCCAGCAGCAGGCATAGCTATCGTGACTCAAGTCCCTACTCCAACCCTACTGTCAACTTAAGGTAATTTCTCATTTTATTATAAACTTTGGCCCTTGTGAAGGCAGATGGGCTTATTGGTATATTTTGCCTATTTTAACTTGGTGTTTTAAATTTATTTCTTTTTGATTGTTGTACATGTTAAGAAATATATTTGATTTCATTTAAAAGGCCATCCATCAGACAGTCGCTTGAATAACGAGAGATTTTAGTTTATAAAAAGAAGTACACACCCAGGCTCCTTCTGTCTTTTCATTCATCCATCATGGTTTTTAGACTCTTGCTAATTTCCTTATTGTCACAAAATGGCTGTGCCACCTCCAGGATTACACATGTTTGGCAGGTAAGAAGAAGGAGGAAGACAAAAGGCAGAAATAGAGGCTGGCTGAGTTCGATCTATTTTTCTTGAAGCTCCACCCAGTAACTTCCACTCATTTTCTATTGATCAAAACTATGCCACATGGTAACTCTGAAAAAGAGTCTGGAAAATAAAATTAGATGCACACATTGCCTCCCAGCAACCCCCAAAATAGATAAACCAACAAAACCGAGTTTCTCATAATAAGAAAGGAGAGAACAATGGATACCGAACTGGCTACCAGTCAACTACAAGGTCAAAATGTTTTTTTCCTATTGAAGATAGCCTTCGTCTATTGTTTTAAATGCTATGTATTGTTTTACTAATATATTTATTTAGGTTTTCACTTTTACTTTTATTATTGCTATCAAATTTACACATCTTTTCATTTCGAGATTTCTTTCTCTTTCCCACTGTATCCTTCTATTACTGTGTATTTGTATAACTGAGTCTAAACTCATTCTACTCATGGTGTAATAGAAATAAGTACAGAGACTAGGAATTAGAGCAAGAAAGTGACTTTATTTTGGAAAGTCAGAAAATCGAGAAGAGAGTAGGCTAGTATCCCAAAGAAAGAGGACGTTGGGATCAAGAGATGACAGATGACAGCAGACATCTAAGTACCACTGAGAGTCCAAGGAGATTGGGAAACTTTTGTTCTCGGTTTGGTCACAATATTCCCATACATTTTTAACAAAACATAGTTAGTTTACCTATTTCCCCTTTAATCCCAGAGTTATTTTTAAAAACTATGTGATTGTTGTTTTGCATTTTATCTCAGTGCTCTAAAATGATCTTAGTCTACGTGCAACATTGGGAAAAGGCCCCTTAAACAACAGAGTTAGTTATGTTAGTTCTTTTTCTGTTTTGCTGTTATAGTTATTCCACTATTGTTCACTACATTTCTGTTTTTTCCTACTTCTATGGGCATCATAGGATTGTACCTCTTGTTACCCTTGAGTGGGATCTGTGACTTTGTCTAGTCAATTAGCTCTAAGTGGAAGTATATTTGCAATCTTAAATATAGGCATGTCCATTTTCCTGCCTTTAATCTTTACTTACATATCCAGTTGTGATACTATCTAGTTATGATAGTTTAGATTATGATGCAGTAACCAATAACCCCCACATCTCAGTGGTTTACAACCACAGAGGTTTATTTCCCCCTCACACTAATTATCTAAGGTGGGCTGGTTGTGGCTTTCTCACTGTCAAATTGTTCGCCAACTCTTAGCATTTTCCTGTCTGAAGCAACTCATTTACTTTTCGCTGTCATTTCCCTGGCCAAAGAAAGTAACACGGTTATACCTGTCTTCAAGAGGTAGGAAAATGCAATTCTATTATACAAAGAAGACAGAGAGTAGAATGCTTGCCAGATTAGCAAATAAAAATACAGGATGCCCAGTAAAATTTGACTTTTATATAAATAAATAATTTTAGAATAAATGTGCTCTGTGTAATATTTCAGACATAGTTGTACTTTAAAAAATTATTATTTGTCTGAAATTCAAGTTTAACTGGGGATGTCCTAGATTTTATCTAAGAACCCTAACAGAGAATTATAAATATTTAGTGAAGAGCACAAATGCCTGCTGTAAACTCACTCTCTCCATTTCCTATGACTTAAGGATTTAGAAATCATGCATTTTTCCTTCACTGATTAAAGTTTTTACAGTATTTCATTCCAATATGCCTCCTTTAAGAAGTCTCGTATTTCTTACTCCTTTCACTAATTAAAAAAATTTTTCTGCTCTCTGACTGAAGAAAAAAATTATAGAATTTTAGCCAGTCGTGGTAGCTCACGCCTGTAATGCCAGCACTTTGGGGAGGCAGAGGCGAGAGGACTGCTTAAACTCATGGGTTCGAGATCAGCCTGGACAACATGGCAAGACCTCGTCTCTACAATAAGCCAAAAAAAAAAAAAAAAATTAGCTGGGTGTTGTCACACATGCCTGTGGTTCCAGCTGCCTGGAAGGCTGAAGTGGAAAGATCGACTGAGCCCAGCAGGTTGGGGTTGCAGTGGCTGTGATCATGCCACTGCATTCTAGCCTAAGTGACAGAATGAGACTTCAACTCAAAAAGAAAAAAATGAAAGAATTTTAATATGTTTATGATTGCCTTCATGACAGTTTTTAATTTTGAGTTATGGTCATGTCATAATTAATAATCATGGACATTTTCAACTCTGATTTTTCCTATTTCATGCTCAAGTTTCATGGATATAGTATCTGATGACTATATTCATTTCTGTTTTCATTTTGAGAGAATATGGCTGACAAATTTTTCTCTAGTTTTTCTCATTTCTATTATAGTATATCTTTATAGCATTAATAAATTTGCTTTGATACATGAACTTTATTAATTTTTGATAATTAAATAATTTATTTGAAACTTTTTTTAACGCTTGACTTTTTTTTGCTACTTGTTCATTTTTACAGAGAAATATTTGTATTTTGTTTGTTTTCAGCATTAGGATTAGAGGTGAGGTTTTTTGTTTTGGTTTCTAGTTTGGGTTGGTTTTTTTTTTTTTTCCCCCACTCTGTTGCACAGACTGGAGTATAATGGCATGCTCATGACCACCACAGCCTTGACTTGCTGGGCTCAGGCAATCCTTCTGCCTCAGTCTTCCAAGTAGTTGGAGCTATAGCAGTGTGCCTCCTTACCCAGCTAATTTTTTTGATTTATATGATTTAATGTGGTTTCAGAGAATCTGAGGCAATTTATAAGACTGTGAATATGACTGAAGTCCCTTCAGCTGTTCTGTCTTCTCTGCCGTCCTCTGTGTCTTTCAAACACCATGGCCTAGATCTTTGTTTTAGACAAGCACAAGTGATCTATTGACTGGACTCGAACCCTTGGGCTCAGGCAATCCTCTCGCCTCCACCTCCCAAAGTCCTGGGATTACAGGCATGAGTCATCATGCCCAGCTTAGTGGGTTTTATGAGAGATGTGAGCTATACATCTCTCAGTCAATATGGAGGGAGAAGGAAAGAAAAGTTTATTTTTACTAGTGTTTGCTTTGGTTCAGGCAAGCAGAAGGAAGAGGAAGAGATCAGAGCAGTATTTTCATTTCTGTTTGTTCGCCTTGTTTTGACTTGGCAGTAGGGAACTATCTCTCTCTGCAGAAGACTTCTTCCATGGTGTGCTGGCAGCCCTGAGGTAGGCAGGCAGCTCAATCCGCCTTCCCTGGCGTATTGCCCTTTCCTGGAGGCAGCTCTGGCACTTTCACTGGGGCCATATGCAAACACCAAATGTGTGCCATGCTGGTTCCTGCTTCCCCTAGCCTTGGGCACCTGTGGCACATCTCCAGCCCTGTTGAGATAGAAATGTGTCTCACTCACCCTCTCCTCACACACCACCTCATTTCTAGACATGCTGCTCCAAATCAGGAAAGACAACAATAGCCTTCAGCTGAATATGCTTCCAATTACTCACCATCTGCAAGCAGGAGGTAGGGCATAGATGTTTTTTTCTTCCAAATTAGTGTCACTTGGATCAGAGGTGGATTGTGGGGTCAGCAAGCTCTGTAGACAGCTAGAGGTGTGTCATTGTGGGACAAAGATAGCATCGAAACATGAAAAAAAGGGAAACTATATTTACCAATATTCCCCTTAAGGAGAGGACCATAGATGGTGAGCAAGAAGACTTTGATAAGCTGTCTGAAGTGGAGATTAAGCCCACAAGGAACCTGCTCAGGGAACACTATACCACCTCTGAATAGCTCTTGGTGAAAGGGGATATCCTATTAACTGCTAAGTTGGATGTGAGTTGGAAATTGAGGGAGACTAAGACATCATATTTTCCCTGATTAGCTCTCTAAACTCCTGTTTCTTTCAGGGTTCTCCATTTATAAAGAATTCATGTTCTTTATAAATAAATATGGATCAGATATTAAATATGGCTTTGAAAGGTACCAACTTACCAAGCTGTCCATGGCTACCATGGATTTTGATCTGCCTCTGATCTGCATTCCGTATTGCAGGAATACCTTGAAGTCTCTGGTCTTCAGCTGAGAC